AGTTACCAATATCTGACTACAACTTCAGTCTGCTCGAGACAAGATCTTATATTTGCAGCCGATTTCCCAACCAAGCATTCCACGCAGTCTGGACTGCCGATATTTCGCCTTGCGCAAGACTACACTGAGGACTGAGTGTCATAATAAGAGAGAACGAGAGCTTCATCAAGATAATGTCTAGAGCAACGGATTATGCAACGAAATGAACGTTAAGACTGAAAAATGATTTATGACTTAGGCGATTTACCAAGCAAAAATTTGTTCACAGTATTGCGCATTTACGCCGATTTTAGCACGATACGACTGATTGATTACAGAATTCATAAATCAAGGATAAAATTTATGCATCTTCATGTTTAATGATGATTAATCCTATTAAACTAGTTGCAAACATTACTTGGAGTTAAAATTCCACATCTCCTCGCACCGGCGAATAATTTATTCGAATAATTTAATGCATAAGTAATTTATGTAAATGCACGATACAAAAAAGTGAAATAATGATAACGTAATCGCATTACATAATTAATTGAATTAGAAGCGGACAAATCAATACTTCCGGAATGAAATCTGTATAGCTAGAGGATATCTGGATTTAGGAGAAGTCATTAATGAAACAATTGGTGAAATTATCTACTTTTATCCTTTCCGCAAAGTCATTGCCTTCGAGACAGAATTACGATACTCGCTCGACAGATTTGGCTACGCTCTCCAAACTACTTTTAACTGCTCTCTTTTTACGGACATCCTAGTGTCTCGTGTTTCTGGAGACGCGCCAGCCGCATCTTGAACCGTGTAAGATCCTTACCATTACTAATCACGTATTCTCTACCGCAAATTTATTTTTGCGCGAGCCGTCATTCGACCTCCTTTGCCATTCCGCCGCAGGACATTCTCCCACAGATGCCACGCATACGGGGGGACTAGAAGAGACGTGGCCCCGTCCAGGAACTCGCCATTGAGACGCCGACGTTTTCCAGCTACGGTAAACACGGCCGGCCGGTGCCGCGTTAACCGCCATCCGGGAGCGCGTTTATTCGCCGACCTTCTTGCACGCCACATCGACGACGATGAAACGAAACACACTGGGGCGGTCTGCAGGCGGTCTTTCCAGCGCGAAAGCTCCGCCTGCGAGGGCCAGCCGGCCGCTGCATGCACGGTGTATGCACGAGAAACGTCAACTTCTTCGTGGCACCTACTTACCTCTTCGTCTTCCCGTCCATCCGTCCGTACGTACGTCCATTGCCGTCCGTCCGTTCGAGCTGGCCTTCTCTCGGACACGCGGCGCGCCCTTCGTTCGTATGCTAATGCCCGTGGCGTTTCGTGACGCGATACAGTTTTTATCGTTAACCCCGGCTGACCTCCTCCTCCGGAGAGCGGGCCTTCGAGTGAAAGTGCGGGCGACGGTACGCGGACCCTCTCCGTCATTGACAGACGCGCGGTTTCGTCGCACACCGCACCAAATGTATAGGCGGCAGACGATTCTGTTCGCCCGAAACGGCGAAATCTCTAAGAACGATGTCATTCGCGCTTTTCCTGAAGGAAAATACAACTCTCTCGCCCGCGGATTCCATTATCGGTTTTACCGGACGCTCGTTCGCCACTCTTTCTTGAATTTCCGCGTATGTCGGAGGGAATTTGTCACGAATAAGTATTTCTTTCTGCGCTACTTTCTTCTTCCGCTCTTCCACGGAAGGTCGGAAACTGCGGCCGACTTGCGAGAGGATGTCTCAGCAAAACCCCTTTAAAGACTTTCCGAGAAGGAAAGTGAAGATTCGAAGAACCTGTCTGTTCGTTATTTATTTTCCAACCATTGAATGAATAAAACAAAATACTTCCACGAAGACAATTTTTTTGTCCATTAATCACTCAAAACTTTTTCCTATAAAAGTTAACTCTTTAACTGCACTCTCTAACTTCATTTTGTGGTAATATTTATTCTAACTATTTTTTAGATAAAAGAACGATAATCTTATAGTCTCGAATTATACCATATTTTTTATCGGCGAGCCATAACGAATAATGATTCATGTAACAATCTATCTTATTGCCGCGATGTTCTTTTAAAAGCGGATCTTTCTCGGAATAGCATTTTTCGGTCACTTAACAACGATGTTTCATTCTTGTAAAATGGACTCACGCGCGTGATACCGTGCAGCAGAAAAAATACTTATTCAAATAAGAGAACAAGCTATTCAGGAGACCTGGCCGCTTCTCCTTCCATGCGCTTGCATGGAACTAGCGCGAGCATAAATTTCAGCAGCTAGATAGCACGCTGCCGCAGCGAAAGAAGAAAGGACTCTCCCTCACGGATACCCTACGAGCGGCTGTGCACGGTTATTTAGATCTTTCATTCTCTCGCGGACAACTCAAAGACTTCGTCGTCTATCGCCTAAATTATTTCTCCGGTATTTCCACGAAGAGAAGGAAAGAAGAAAAGAAAAAAAGAGAGAGAGAGAGAGAGAGTAAGAAGACACATGTAACTATGCGTTTTTCCTTGGTACGTGCATGCTCTCTCAAACGATTTATGTATTTTAACGTTATTTCGCTTAGCGCGTTAAGTAAATGGATGTTGTTACTTTACCTAGGGCGCGCTCCAATCTTGCAAATTGTGTTTTACAAAAAAGGAAAAAAAATCAATATCCTGTGTGCCGCTCTACGACCACGGGCGGCTAAATAGATTCAGATAACCCGAAGAGACGGCGCGTTTCGTATACCTGGATCACGCTAAATGAAAATACGCACGTAATAGAAGCGTGAGCGATACGCTTAACCGTCCGGGGGAGAGGGTGTGTGCCCCGCATACACTTAGTCACACTGATAAAGTATTCCAATTGCGACGCGAGGCGGTTTAGTTCCCGGCAGGGACCGACGAGGGAATGATATCACGCTGACAAGCCGTAAATACATAATGAAGTGTGGAAACCCCGTATGTTTAAATCCATGAATGCCTCCATCCGTCATCGTGAGTACGCGCGCGGTACGACTTCGAATTTATAATCCCGTACGCTCATCTAGTATACCCGCGTGATTCATCATCTTATACATTCTTACCGCGACAGATGAGTAGCCCCGTCGCTCAGAATAAGTTCGAGGAAAAGTTAGACGTTAAGAGATATGCAATTAATATACGTGTGTGTGTGTGTGCGCGCGCGCGACGATACTAATCTTTTAATTAACGATTTCCTCTTCGGCTCGGAGTGCACGCACTAAATTTTTTTTTATCCGAGTAAAATTGCCGTGAAATGCAATAGATTTCAATCAAATATTAAAATGTAATCTTTGTTGAGGTCTATAGAAATAGTTTTTCCATACGATAATATATCATTTATAGTATCAATGTTATATTAATCAATGTTATATTCATTATTATATCCTTTTAAAAACGGCTGATTATTTTATAGCTCTTCGCTGTAAATATTTAAAAATCCAGATTAAATTTATTTCAAGATTTTAGAAAAATGTTACATGTAATAATAGTATTAAAATCAGAAAATCGAGTATTTATAAAAATAAAAAATTAAAGTACTTAAAAGGATACTCAATAATTGTTAAATTTTAGAATTTTGTAAAATTTACCAGATTATACCGTATTAGATTTTGCATTCATATAAAAATACAATAGAGTTATATAAACTAAATAACAAAGCTATTGAAAAAAGAATGTATATTTTAGTATAAATCCCTAAACTATTTAAATCTTTTTTATGTTTTATAAATATCTAATCTTTAAAATATAGGTAAAGAGCACTAGAGAGAGCTTTATCTAAAAATTTGTTTCGGTTCTCTAGATAAAATGCAGATGGCGTTAAAGGTCTCACCCACTTTTAGGGGTAACTACCCTCTGTGCATGAATAACGCAGCTGTTTTTTCAGACTACTTACTATGAGAAGCTACACGCAAAGATATCATTTTTAAATTAACTTGGAGCAAATTTCATTGGAAATGTAATAATAATAATTAAATATGAATTCTAGCAAAACTGATTGGCCAATATCCGTTCTATTCATCTGTCGAATCCATTAATTAATAATTTACCAAGCAAGTTTGATTTATCGAGTCTAGCAGCCGAAGTTATCGGTTATCCGGCATACGCGAGCAATCTAATCACAACTGACACCGAATGCGTGGCAAATGCATTCACGCACGCAAGTTAGCATGTCCAAACTTGGAAAATATACGCGTCGAGCGTATCTGTTTCAAAACTTATCGCGAGAAACCCACTCACGTTCGCAACGAAGATGCAACAAATCCTTTTCGGCATGCAACGTTTACGACTGTCTTGAATACTTTTGGGAGTAGCCCCAAAAACAGCCAGTTGAAAGTTCAAACCGCGAAATGGAGAAATAACAAATCATCGCGGGGGGAAAAACGAGTGTTTATCCTGTAAAAGTTCGCCGACAGGCGCCGTGGGACATCCCATGGCATAGCCTATTAGACGACGTCGTGGACGTTACGAGGCGCCCGAGGGCGAAAGATTCTCGCATGGAGGAACGAGGGAGAGAATGCCCGTTCGGTAGAGAAGCCGTTTGATAAATGCGTGCCGGTGCGTCTAGGAACCAGTTTAGTGTTTACCTAGTAAGAAGAGAGAAGAGAAGAGAAGAGAGGAAGAGAAGGGAGGAGAGAGGAAGGGAGAAGAGAGGGAGAGAGGAGAGTAATGTTGTCAGTCAGCTGGTTTGTTGCATCTTCGAGGCAGGCAGGCAGTCAGGCAGGCAGGCAGGTAGGCAAGAAGGCAGGCAAGCAGCCGCCCGTGGCATTCAACGTTCGCAGAGGAACGCTCTCGCGAGCACCGGTGTCTCTGTGTGTCAGTGCCGGTGTAGCACGTTGAAGGAAAATGGAAGGGGTACATCCTGCGGACGGTGGGGCAATGGCAATGGTGGTGGGAACGGAGCGAGAGAAGGGGAAGGCAACCGCACGCTGCTAGTTATACAGGGTATACCCGTGAATCGTGATCGTCGATAGAACGTGAACTCCGTCTCGGAGTCAGTTGCACTCCGACCGCCGCGGTGGAATGTCGTTGTATCCCGGGACGCAGCCGTCGTCACTCGGGTCGTCGCACGTAATCACGTCGTCATCGTCACGGCAGTAGGATATTCGCCGCGTCTGTTGTGTGTTGGTGGTCGCTCCGCGTTCTCACTCGTCGGGGATGAGCGATCGGTGTTCGAGCGATTCGCGCGAGCGGACGACGAGGTCGGGGGTCGTCGCGTCGGTGCCAGTGTGAGTCGTGTTCGCCGACGGCGCGGGGAATCAGTAGAGTCGGCCGAATACGAATCGTGTTTTTTGCTTCCTTCTTGCCTGTGTGGCCTGCGTGGCGTGAAACGAAGTAGTGTACAGTTGAAACAGAGTGTCGTAGCCATGAGTGCGTGACGGTGCGACCGATCTCTCGAGCACCCGCGCGAGTATTTTCCGGCTACAGGTGTGCGACTACGGGAACATCCAGGATGGAAGCGCGTCGTCGCGTAGCGTCGTGGTTGCGGCCGGCGATCCTTTCGGCGATCGCCGTTCTGTACCTGACGCTGGATCACTGTACGGTGCACGGGCGCAGCATCACGAGCCTGTCGCAGGCTCCGAGCGGCTGCGAGTGGAGAAAGGAAGACGACGACGCGGAAAAGATTCTGGCGTGTCAGGTCAGAACGATCGCGAACGTGCCCGATCTGATTGGAAATCTCTCGGCGATTCAGGTGGACACGATAACGTCGCTGGGATTAGAATGCAGCGACGTGCTGTTCTTCGAGAGTCAACTCGAGGCACCGCACGGCTTTCTGTCGGTGCCGTTGCCGCGTCTCACGAAGTTGCGCGTCGATTATTGCAAGATCCGGTACTTGCCCGGCGGGGTATTCACCCCGGTGCACAATCTCCGCAGTTTGTCCCTGCGAACGCACAACGGCGATTGGTCGACCATGACGCTGGAGCTCCATCGCGATGCGCTTCGCAGCCTGACGAATCTGCAACACCTCGATCTCACCGACAACAATCTTTGGACATTGCCGTCGGAACTGTTCTGCCCGGTGCAGAGTCTCGTGAGTTTGAACCTGACGCGCAACAAGTTACAGGACATCACGTCCCTGGGCTTCGCCGACTGGAGCGAATCTTGCACGCCGAATCTCGAAATTCTCGACATCAGTAATAATGACCTCAGTGCCTTGCCCGACAGCGCGCTCAGCAGCCTGCACAGCCTGAGCGTGCTGAAGGTACAGGATAACGTGATCGGTTCCGTGGACGACAACGCTCTGACCGGCCTCACGTCTCTGCGAATTCTCAACATGTCTAGCAATAAACTTGTCGCATTGCCACCTGAACTATTTTCCAAAACGAGAGAACTGAGACAGCTGATACTCAGTAACAATTCCCTCACGGTATTGGCGCCCGGACTGCTGGACAGTCTCGAGGAGCTCCAGGAGTTGGATCTCAGCAATAACATGCTGACGAGCTCTTGGGTGAAACGCGACACCTTCTCGCAACTCACCCGTCTCGTCGTCCTCGATCTGTCGTTCAACGACTTGATGAAAATCGACGCGGTTGTCTTCAAAGGCCTGAGTAGCCTGCAGATCCTGAAGCTCGAGCATAACAATATCGACACGCTCGTCGACGGCTGCTTCGCCTCGCTCATCAATTTGCATTCCTTAACGCTTTCGCACAACAAGATCGCCAGATTCGAGCCGGTGCACACGATCGGTCTCAACGCGCTCGGACAACTCTTCCTGGACAGCAACAGACTGCGCGTCTTGCACAGGCATGTGTTCACCAATCTCACGAATCTCCAGGATCTTTCTCTGAGTGGAAATGCTTTGTCGGAAGTCCCTTACGCGGTTCGCGTGTTGCACTCACTCAAAACTCTCGATCTGGGCAATAATCAAATGTCGAGAATCGACAACGACTCGTTCGCCGGTTTAAATGAAGTCTACGGATTGCGTTTGGTGGACAACAAGTTGGAGAACGTCTCGCGCGAGGCATTCGCTACCTTGCCGGCGTTGCAAGTACTCAATCTAGCGAATAATTTCATTCGTCACGTGGAACAGAGCGCTTTTTCGAATAATCCAGTGTTACGGGTTATAAGGTTGGACGGAAATCAATTGACGGAGATACGAGGCGCCTTCACGAGTCTCTCGACTCTCGTTTGGCTAAATGTGTCCGATAATAAGCTGCTGTGGTTCGACTACAGCCATCTACCGTCCAGCATAGAGTGGCTGGATATACATGCCAACCAAATAAGCGAGCTCGGGAATTACTATATGGTGCGCAACAATCTGCGGATAAAGATGCTGGACGCCAGCTACAACCTCATCACCGAGATTAAGGATATCAACGTGCCGGATAGTGTGGAGATGCTGTTCCTGAACAACAACAAGTTACGCAGCGTGGCGGCCGGCACGTTCTCGCAGAAGCCGAATTTGGAGAAGGTGGTGCTTTACGCCAACGAGATCAGGAAGCTGGAGGTCGCCGCCCTCAGTCTGCAATCGATGCCGGAGAACAAGGAACTTCCTGCGTTTTATATCGGGGACAATCCCATTCTCTGCGACTGCACCATGGAGTGGCTGCCGCGGATCAACGAAATGGCCCGGCTACGTCACTATCCGCGCGTTATGGACCTCGACGCCGTCACGTGCGACATGGTGCACGCTCGCGCCACGCCGCGGCGTCCTCTGCTGTCCTTGAAGTCGAAGGACTTTCTCTGCCGATACGACACGCATTGCTTCGCGCTCTGTCACTGCTGCGACTTCGACGCGTGCGACTGCGAGATGACCTGTCCCGACAATTGTTCGTGCTATCACGATCACAGCTGGTCCAGCAACGTCGTCGACTGCTCCAACGCCGGATACAAACACGTGCCGGAGCGAATACCCATGGACGCGACGGAGATCTATCTGGATGGTAATGAGCTGGGCGATCTGAGCAGCCACGTTTTCATCGGCAAACGTCGCTTGGAGGTGCTGTATCTGAATAACAGTGGTATCATCGCGATACACAATCGCACGTTCAACGGTGTCGGCGCCTTGCGCGTTCTTCATCTCGAGGACAACGCGTTGCGGGAGCTGCGGGGCTTCGAATTCGATCAGCTGGAACGTATGTCAGAACTGTATCTGGATCACAACGCGATTGCCACCGTGGGCAACACGACCTTCAAGAAGATGCGAAATCTCGAGGTGCTGCGACTGGACAGTAATCGTATCGTCGATTTCCGACCGTGGGAGGCCTTGCCGAGCGTCGGTGACGGCACCAAAGTCGCGCTGGAGGGCAACGCGTGGAGCTGCGAGTGCGGGAACGCTGCTAGATTGCGCGCCTGGCTCGCGGAGCATCGTGGCGATCCGGAGAAGATGTACTGTCGCGACGGTGTCGAGACCCTCGCCCAAGCAATGGAGCGATGCGGTGATCCGTCCACGGAAGCCGTGAGTCGCGGTATCCAGGAAATCCCGCTGCTAGGCAGTAATTTCGTGCCCCTGCTCGCTGGTGCACTGGTAGCCGTAATCGCAATTTGTCTCTTCATCGCCCTGGCCTTCGTCTTTCGTCAAGACGTGCGACTGTGGGCCCACGCGCGTTACGGACTACGACTCGGCAAGATGGCGGCGCCGCCCGACGAGGAGAGAGACAGACTGTACGACGGTTATATCATCTACAGCGAGCGCGACGAGGACTTCGTCTCCAGATTCCTCGCGGCTGAGTTGGAGCAGGCTGGCTTGGCTCTCTGTTTACATTGGCGTGACTTGCCGCCGGCCAGACCGCAGGAAGCGTTACCGCCGGCCGCGGCTTCTGCGCGACGCATCGTGATAATCTTCTCGCCGGTGTTCCTCGCGAACGAATGGCAACACGCGGAGTTCCGCGCCGCTCTGAGAACGGCGCTCGAGAACATCAGGCCGACCTCGCGGAAGCGTCGAGTTGTAGTGCTGCTCGCTACCGAGACGCCTACCCGGGACCCGGAGTTGCAGCTGCTGCTGCAGACGTGCACGGTGGTAGTCTGGGGCGAGAAGAGGTTCTGGGAGAAGCTCAGGTTCGCCATGCCGGACTCGGTCGACAAGCGACGTGACAGCAAGAAGGTCAACGACCGCAACCGCACGCCGACGCGGTACACCGCGGCGCCTTCCGCTGCCGTGGACGTTTGGACCAAGCCTAATGGCGTTTTGGTCGCGCCGGTGCATCATGCACCCACGCCGACACCCACGCAGTCTACCTACGTCAGTTCGGCGTCGAGCCGCACCGAGGACGAGGACAGTGGCGCGGAGCATCAACATCAGCATCAGCATCAGCATCAGCATCAGCTTCAGCATCAGCATCAGCATCACCAGCATCACCCGCACCATCCGCATCAGCATGGTTACAGCGCGCTGCATGCCGGTAACGGCCGTCCGGCAAGTCTGTCCTCGAGAGGCAGCCATCTCTACAGCACCATACCGGAACCGCCGGTGGTGCCCACCGCGCCACCCGGGGAGGCCCTCGCTCCCGCGCATCCAGGCAATCCGCGTACTTACTTCGTCTAGCGCAGAAGGGCGGCGATCGTGCTCCGATCCGGCAGAAGATAGACCGACTCCCCCACCTTTTTTCTTCCGGTCTTCGTCTCGCTTCCGGTACCCGCTGAGACACGGTCGTCCGACTTTATCGCGATGTTTCTCACTAGGAGAGATCGAGATGTAAAAAAAATTCCTTCGCTTCAGGACAAACTGTGACTACACTTGTACAGTATTCCCAATACTCGCGACGTATCGACCGTCACCCCGACTGAGGCGCTTTAACTCTTCCACTTCGGGGTCGATCGCCCCGAATGAACCACTCGGCCGCGAACGGATATCCATTCGCAACACGCGCGCATAATATTATATACGTACGAAATCGATTCGATGCCTTGTGCTTATTATCACAATGTACGACGATAGATTTTAAAGGCTTGACTTTTCTTTCCCAAAATCTTTAGGGATACGCAAGACGCGCGCGCGATCGTCACTCTTCGTTCCTTTCTCGATATCTCTTTTTCACGTCGTTGCGCAATGTTCTTCCAAATCACGACCAAATACCCGTTTCGAAACTCACGTTCCGAGGGCCGCTTTCCCTTCGTATATAGATCTTGTAAATAACCGACGCAGCATCGGCGAGAATCTAGATTTTTGTGCGCTTTGATTTAGCTAGCGAGACGTCGCGTGAGATGAAATGGAGAATCGACATTAATTTATATGTGTATATATATAACGTACACCCGCGCTCTCTAATTTCTCGCGAATCTCCTTCGCGCGTCTCTACGTCGACTAATTTATTTCGCCACGCGAAATCATGATGAATCATCGTGGCCCGAAACTGGGTCGCGATCAAAAGCAACTGAGCGAATTTTACTGATTGTTTCATTACGATGAATAGGTCGCCAATTTAAATGTTTTGTCATTTGATCCCTTTCACATACGAATTCTTTGATTTAGAGTCGTGCTGTTTCGATTTGCATTAATTGTCATAACTGTCAGTAAATTCGTCAATATTTGTGGTATGGATATATACGATGAACGCGGTGAATAATGATGATAATGGCAATAGCTAAATGTAGTACGGGGATTGATGTTATGACGCACAACACGATCATTTTGTGAATATTAATTAAATCGTGTCGATAATTTTTGTCTCTAACATCATTCACGTCAAACAACATACGTGGAACAATTGTAATATTTGTAACGGTATTAGAAAACGTACAAGAGAGGATATAAAAAGAGTTCTTTATCAATATTTATTTTAAATACGCTTGGACGAATGCATTTATTTTATATCGTACACGGTGATACTTTATTTTATTAGCGATATAACCGTATTATGCGTTTGACAACTTAATTGCGAATATTTATATATACATATAGATATATATATATATTTTTTTTTCGATACTCGAATAACGTTACACGAGAGAAGTGATACGTACATATACATACGAATATTGTATGAATATCGCTTTTTCGTTCATCCATTTGATTTCGGGATGGGCATCGAAATGTCGAAGAAACCATTTTTACATAGTACATTTCGAATTATTATAAATATAAAGCGTAAAATTTTGTCAAGTACGTAATCGTAATAATTTTCGACAAGACTAATGTAGATAGTACGAATATATTTTTCCTTCCGTATTACGATTCAAGAAATCTTAAGATAAAGTTCCTCGCGCATCTGACACTTCTTTGGGACCCGAGGCGCATCCCTCTTTGCCATTCCTGTCGTTTGTTCGTCAATCACTCGCGATGAAGTGGAATAACGAATCATCAAGTGTTAAATGACAGAAAGAAAAGACAGACGTCTCGCGAGAGCTTGTTCCTAAAGATTCACGACTGTCTTTGGTGAAGTAACGGTTGCATAACGCTTATTAGTCCGTAAGTGAACTCTCTGTAAATATTGTATCTAATTTTGTAAATATAATCATGCACATTTCCGAGCACACCGAAGACCAGCGTTGCTGGAAACGTAACTGGTCGTGGATACATCTTAACTATAATTGCGCGTTTAGGACTGTATAATTCTAATTGTATTGTATTATTGTAAATATGCTCATCGAATCACGCATTATATATTCACAGTCTGTTAAATACGTATTAAATTAATTGCCACTTTCCATTTCAGCAAAGAATCATGAAAATAAACACGTTTGTTTTATAAAAAAAAAAAAGTCATCGCGTTTAATCAATCCTACAAAATTCCCGTTCCAATTGTAAAATTGCAAAATTAATCCGATATTAATAACACGATATAAAAATTACTTTATGACATGTAAAATCAGTATTGATATGAAGAGTATCTATTTTCAATTTTCTGCACGTGATTAATATTCCCATAAATTAGATAAGAGAAGAGGATTCTCATATATTGACATAAAGATGTGTGTATCGCGCATTTACGTAATTATTCGCTGGTCGATATCTTCAATAAATGCATTTTTGCACAATAGATGGTGCATCAGTTATAGTCGAATTATTATGTAAATTTGGTTATTCAATTATAATATGCCGATAATGATAGGCGAGCGGCAACATATAAGTACCATATTCTCGGATATATCCCACTTTAGCCCGATGGATTTGTGTTCTGTGCCGCTTAATACCACGAATAACGACATCGCCCGACTTTAGTTTATTTCCTAAAAAACAAGGAGTAATTCCGCCTTGTCGCGGTAAAATACGTGCCGCTGCACTTTTTGATTATTTCTCAGATTTGCGATTGCAGTCGAGTTGAATAACGACGACAGTAATTCGAGAGTAAGACAAAAAAAAAAGGAAGGAAAAGAAAAGATAAGTACGGCGCGTATAATTTATCGCGTAATTCCTATCGCGCAGAAAACGGGAACGCCGCCGGTGCGGCGCGGCGGCGACGACGGTGCTGTACATGGGAATAAAACGTTAAGGGTCGGCGGCACATACGTCATGCAATTTGGATTGTGATGCCCGAGGCAGTTGAAATGGAAGGAAGAAGAAGCAAATAATTTTTGTGAGTCTTAAGATATATAAGCAGGTGCAATTTTCAATTTCATGAATTCAGTAACAATTAGATATAAGACGCGGAATGAATATATACGTTATAATAGTTGTCGATACTACTATAATAACACACATATATAATCAATTTGCGATACTTAGTTTACATTGATATAATATAATAAAATAAAAAAGTTCGTAGCACATCTTCCCAATTCGCTTCAAAATTTAAAACAATCGCGTTAACCAAAAGCAACTCGAGTGAACGCCAGTTGCGATAACTGTCGAGCATTTTTCCTGATTCTCACTTCTCACTTTTAGTGCCATAAATTAAGGTATACGAAATCGGTATCGCCGACTCTTAAATACGGTGCGTACGAGCGCCAGGAACACCTTTATCGCGGTGGTTCACCGACCGCACGAATCTTTCCACGGGGCAGTCGTGATAACGGCGGCGACGCCCCGTTCCCTCGGGAACGGGACCGCGGTCCTCGGCTACGAGAGTTTATACATTTCGGTGGCAAGAAATATTAACAACATTCCCGAGTATTATCGCTTCCGTGCGCGACCGGGAAAAAGTGTTCAAGATTTCCCCCGGCTTTTCCGGTCCGCATTACCGTTCCAGGTCACGCGCTTAAACAAAGATTCGGCGACGTAAGTTAGGATCCCTCCGTCGGGAGCACTGCGAATTGCCTCTTTAGGGAAAAAAAGGAACGGCCGAATCGAGGGCGTGAGCTCGCTCGCACGTTTCGCGCGTGCCGCATTCCTACCGCTATCGTAACGTTATCAGAGACGCATGCGGTGCAGCGGGTCGTTAGAATACCGTGGAGCGGGAGCGTCCGGGGTGCGCGGGTGCACGGGTGGGCCACGCACGTACTACACACGGTTTCAAATATTTGAATGCCCGTGGGCCACGAATGCCAGAAAAGAGCCGTACCGTGGCTAATGACATTACGACTTTAGGATGCTCTCGGGCAAATTACATTTGCCGGGCGGGCGGGCGGACGGCCAACCTGCGCTGCCCGGGTAACGGCGGGAGCAAACGATATATATATATACAACGATATGATTCGTTGATATCCAGCACGTAGACGCGTTTAATAATTAAAGTACGCGCGGGGGTGCGCTAAGTGGATCGATAATTTAATGCTAATAATGCTCCACACCGCGGGCCACTCTTCAAACTCACGATTTTTACCTTACTTTTCGATGGTCGGGTGTCGTTTTAACGGAATTAGAACGCCGCGCGTTCATGAATCCTAGCGGGAGTGTGCCCTGCGAACTACGGTAAAATTTATCGGGAGACGGAGAATATATATATATATATATTTTTTTTTTAGGGTGACGTTTCAGCGGCGGTCGCTCTTCGCAATTACATCTCTTTCTGTTATTCTGAAATATTTCATCGAGTTCTCTCGACGAGGCGAATGGGTCCGCTCGTTTCCATAGAGTTTTCCCCGCTTTATTTATAAGCGTCGTATTACGTCCCGCTCTGTTTTCAGTCGCCGCGAGCTCGAATTAAGAGGCGCCACGTGCGCGTCGAAACGGAACGCGCGACGCACCTGCGACAAATCGCTGGTGTTGCGTTCATACGCCCAAAATAATTTCAATTGCAACGTAACCGATCCGAAAGCATGCGACACGAGATCGATGCTTGCGCGTTTTTCCGCGCACGTTCGCTATCTAAACGGCTCAACGCGGTCGCGTCAGGACGGAAGAAAAATGAAAGAATACATAAAAATATGGAGCAAAATCCGACGGGAAATTAAGCTGTAAATCACTCTATAATTGCCCGAACTTTTTGACAGTCAGTTTGAAGCTTTTAAAACCGCTCATTAACATATAAGACGGATTCATTAGGCGTGAAGAAGCGTGGTTTGGAAATCTTTATCAGATTATGAATGCAGCTGGAGCCACGCCTTGAGTCACCCCTCGGTTCTATTAAGTGCTGTACAATAATAATCTAGCACGCCCGTTTGTGTGTGTGTGTGTTCATTGCGACGTATCGATATTTTAATTCATAACGAAATTAGTTTCTCTTCCTCTTTGTCCATCCATTGTTAAAGTATATGAGATTTACTTTAGCAAAGGAGAGTATTTTACTATATCGAATTTATATAATTACTAATATATTTTATTAACGTTTATATGCTTATACAGTTAGAACCGTATGTTTGTTAAAAAGTCCTGCGATTCTACCTTACGATCCTTTTTATCATCTTTAGAATCACACCGAATAACTCTCGGTTTAATAATTAAAAAAATTAACTCACAACACAATCCATGATAAAATCATGCTTCTCAAGTACCAGTACTTCCGCTCTTCCTAAGAAATATCTCCCTTCTTAGCTTCGTATTTCTTTGACATATGTATTCATATGCTGAATCGAGCATTTTCGTGCACATGAGAGTGTGGCTTGTGCGCAGAAATACTCTAGTCACTTTGGTATGCGGCTTAACGTGTGGGCAGCTCCTCCTCTGAGCATGCACGAATATGATCCGCCACTTGTCAGTTTATCAAAAAAGATTTGTGTGCTAAGCAGTACTCCGTGTGAACGGGTTTCTCGCTGCTGTTTGCCTTGCGCGCAAATATGAATTCGCTTAGTAACTATTAACTGTGGACTAGATAAACAATAGATAATCTTCTTTCTTCTTCGTCACGCAAACGATTATACTCGACGACGATCGGAATTTGTAGCTTTCTCAAAATTCCCGAAATTTCGCAAACAACAAAGGGGATTATCGTAATCATTGCAAGCTTATGTCTAGTGTAATATAACTGTATAAACTAATAATTGTTACCATTTTTTAATTATTAATTACATTCACTTACTTTTTACGTAAGCTATTGTGCATTTTTTTATATATATACACTGAAAAAAAATTTTTTAATATTTAAAAAGCCTTATTTGAATACTTCTAACAACATATTTACTTAATATAATCACATATTTATTTAGAATTAGATATCTTTACTTAAATTAAGTAAAAATATCTAATCCTAAATAAATATGTGATTATATTAAGTAAATATGTTGTTAAGAGTATTCAAATAAGACTTTTTAAATATTAAAGAATTTTTTTTCAGTGTAGTATATGACGCCTGCTATTTCTGCAACACGGCGAATTACTATGATCGAGTAGAGAGCACCGTTTTAGGCATCGCAAAAATGTTCAAGTCAGTATGCGCCTTACCGGTTTCACCTTTTTTGCATCTCCTCGACGGAACAAGCGGAGGCGCCGGTGCATCAATCAGCCCTCGAAGGAAGAGCCGCTAATTGCACCATCCACTATATCTTGATCAATCGAACGTGGGGCGTTGGAATTAATTAGAACGATGACGTGCTTGCTCACGACGAGCCAATGTAGCGTTCGGTCGCGATAGAAGTTGTCGATTCGGTTGTACGAGGCCAGATACCCTATCTTAAGTGAGTAGTTTTCCTTCGCTCCGGGATCAAAAAGGAGGAACGCTGGCCGAGATAAAACGAGCAAATTGCCTCGCTGACCGTCTGGGCCTATCGTTTGGAAAGACTTTCTTGACAGTTGGTGTGATTCCAAAATAAATTCACCGGATGCAGCGCGATAAGTAATTTTTTAGCGACCGCGTTTTATGACGACAGGTACTCTCTGATTGCGATAAGGAATACTCTGATCCCCGTGGAATTAAGTACTTCGCCAATAATTGGAGTTATCACGAAGACTGACAAAATAAAAAAAAGAAGATAAGTCTATATGTCAAATCAATCTAACACGGATCCAAATTTTTTTCATTTATATATAATTATCTGCGTGTAAATTAATGAACTATTCGTCAGAAATAATAACAAGATGGTCTTGCAGAAGTATGGTAGTTACTTTAAGATTAATTACGCGGGCATCAATGACAATCGCCGGCAAATCGACTTCTTGTTTCGAAAGTCTATTACGTTCTTGCGATACTTTTTGGCGGCACGACCCCAGCCGGCTACGAACTGTTCGCATAGATAATATTCAATGATTTATTACGTCACAGCGGTCGCGCCGAGATCTAGCGAGGAAGAGAGAGGAAGAGAGAGAGAGAGAGAGAGAGAGAGAGAGAGAGAGAGAGAGAGAGTACGAGAGACATACGCGCAGTAATTCTAATAAATGAATACGTAAATAATTCAAGTAATTT